GGCTAAATACAGGGCCTTTGACTCAAGAACAGATCCAGATCTTCCATTTTGCTCATAAAATCACCCCCTCCTTGCCTATGTTCAACCTTTTTACAAGTAAGCAATGTAAAATGAGTAGCCAGTGTCAGCATTCTTCCTCAACTCGGTCAGATTTCTGCAGCTTAAATAATTTCTAAAGAGCAAAGATTCGAACTTTTGAATTCATAAAGCTCAGATGTTTGCTAGATTAAGAATGAATCTTAAATTGGAAAGGGATGAAATGAAGTTTTATTCAGAGAGTTCAAAATACTTGTGTTTTTGAATGTTACTCAAGTAACCACAAAACACATAAAGAATTCTCTATTTCCCAACTCGACACAACTGAACAGTATACAACTCTTGGCCAATGCCAATCTAAATGTGTCAGCCAGATGTTTTTTCCCGAATCCAGTTTAACTAAAATGTTTATAAAGGACCACCCATGGAAAATAATTAGAAAATAAAAAATAAAATAAATAACTATGTTTATTGTAGCTGAGAAAATAATGAATCTTTRGATTTTAAAATATGAGAGGAAATAGAGAACAAATTGAATATCTATGAGAGACAATGGTACATCATAGTCTTTTCCTAGTAAATTAATTATACAAATTAGAATATCAGCAAGCAATTAAAATGCAGATTGCAGGACATAGAGGAAAGGGAACAAATAAAAGCTCTGCTTACTTCTGAAATTAAAATTAGAGGGCTTTTTATCTTTTCCAACTTGAGCCAAGGAGCTGATGTTGATGGGAGATTCAAACCCATTAATTGTTTGAGTTTTTACAACTTAGCGGATGTTTTTTTGTTTTCCATGAAACTAGGTATCAGCATTAAAAAAAAAAAAAAAAAAAAAAAAAAATAAAAAAAATATTTCCCAGTTGTAAGAGAATATAAATGTGGAGATCCTTAGAGACTCATTTGTTCTGTATAGAAATAAAAGGTCAAAAAAAAAAAAAAAAAAAAAAAAAAAGATAAAAATACAATTAACAGAAATTTCCACTTCTGTGGGTAAGACAACATCTTTCCTCATGTAATATGAGTGCTGAATGCTGAAGGACACACAGGAATGTAGAGGAGAAATTGCCCCCAGCCCCAAGTCCAGTCCCTTGTTATTGTGGCAACCAAATCTTGTAATGCCTACTATAAACTAAAATGTTATATGTGATATTGACTGAGAACAGTTAGCTTTATAATCTTGTATAGGTACACATGGCTCTAAATAAATTTGCACTACCAAAAAAGAGTGAGAATAACATGAATTCCTCAGATCTACTTCCCTTACATACTGGGGAATCACTGTCAACGTCTCTACTTGCATGTGATTGCACAAATAAACTACACCAACACATTCTGAATGAATGAGAAATGATGGAACTTCTGCTCCTTGGATGATTCATGTCAAAAAAACATTTAAAGGAAAACATGTATCATTATGACACATACAAAAATAGTAAATCTAAAGGTTGCAAAAGGTAATTTAACACCCTACCCTTTCAGAATTCCATACTCCAAACCATGTTACTAACTGTCTGCTACAATTAGAATATGGAACTTATAGTTGTACTGAGCAGGGAAGTGATAAACTAACATAGATCAGTATAAAATAAACTGACTTCAACTGTTGGAAAAGAGAACTGCAAAAAAGGTTTTTCTGGAGCTACTGGAAGGAAAATGCAAGCTTTGTCAGTGTGGTGCAATAGGTTGTAAAAAGATTTTCTTTCTTACATTTTCCCTCCCTTGATGTGGTCAGCAAAAAACAGAGCCTGGGCCTCAGTTATTATAAAGAATCTTCAAAAGTTCAAATGTGAAATGCTGCTGTGCTCTGAWGCCAAGATTGTCATGGTCTGATTTGATCTCCCTAATTTACAGGACAACATAGTCTGTAAATTATTTTATGAGCTCATTAAAAAAGGAAACCAACACATCAAACAAAGGTTCAATCCCCTTCATACAAACTAGACTAACATGGGAATTCACTAATTCACTCCTTAATTAATGAGGCCTTTAACTCACAAGTTGTCCAAGTCATAACTTAATAGTTATAAGCAAAATACTCCCAGCGCTGCTGACGAGAGTGCTCATCCCAGCACCTCTGTCACAGTGCAGGCCTCCCATGTATCCCACCRGGAAGCAGGCAAACCTCAGCAGACTGGCTGATGCTGGATATGCTTCAGAGGTGTTTCGGGCAAGCCATCATATTTACACTTTCCAGCTGAGAAGTTTGATTGTGGAAATCTGCATGATTTCTGTCAGTGAGAGGATTCTGAAGGACCCGACAAACCCAGCAGGAAGGAGTGCGGGGGCAGCAGACAAGCAATGGCTTCGTACTCACCTGAGCCCCTCCTGCAGGCTCCCTGTGTGCTGCTTTCACTTGGATCTCATGGAACTGATCCCAACACACATCAGGCTTTGTGTGAGCTGTGTGTTAGCTAAAATCTGAGCAGGAATTCAGTGAAGAACGAAGAAACGACATGACAGAAAGAAGAGCTTAAATGGCTTAAATGTGTTTCATGAATTGAAGGAGACATGATCAGGTACCAGTTTGGAGAACACTTCTAAAGAACATATAATACCCTTAATTAAGTATTTAAATATATTAATTAATATGTAAGTTGCTAACCGTAGTATAGTAGGAGCTTCTGTCACAGCAGACAGTGTTTTACCAATGAAAATGCAAATTACCTGCAGGCAGGTAGCAGACAGATGATTCTTCACACAATGTCTAGATAAGCTGTGGAAACTCATGATTGTGCAAACACCAACGGTTCAGAAAATGTTGTAAGGCTGAGCACTATGCCCAATGGGTCTCAATGGAAAGGTTGTGCAGCCCAACAGAAAAGAAAACTCATCTTTGAGGCTCTGAAYAATTGTTTAGAAGGTGAGGAACAATCTGAAGAGCTTGCCCAGGTCATATCCTGCTGCAACCATTCGCTTTCAGTCACTGATGGATGAATGGAGAAAGAAATTGAAACTTGGTCTGAAACAGGATTCCAGAGAAATATAACCAATTAAACCATAGAGAATATATATTGTCTGTTCTCTACAGAGAATTACTTTCTCCCAAACTACTTTTCTTCTTTCCTTGTCTTCAAGGCTGAAGAATGAAATAGAAAGAATGGAATAGAATAGATAAAAATACTCACATAAAGGAGCAGAAGTGACAAAGGAGTGAGAGAGAGAAACATGAAGTTCTTTGGGAGAAAGATGAAAAGCTGAGCAGGCCTCTGGAGAGCTTTAGTTTCACTTCTGCTTATAGAAAAAAAAATCAAAAGTAGAAAAGACAAGCATTTACAATCAGATTTAAGACAACGAAGTGGAGAATCAGCTGTATCAGAAAGCATACACATCTTCAGTTTTCTCGTGTTTAATCTTTTCTTCAGACTTTATCTTCCTACTACTTTGTTTTTAAAAAAATGCAGAAATTTTGTCAGGCCTTTCTCTTCATTAATCTGTTTGCTAACCATTAACACAAGTCTCCCAAGAGAAAACTGGTAAGTTGTGCAAAATTTTAGTGCAATTTATATGAGTTGGTCCTGGAGCCAGGAAAAAGGCAATTAGCTGCCTGCTTTCTGGAGATGATGACAGATTGAGCTCAGCATCCTGAGAACTTAGCCAAGGACACTGAGAAGCAGCACCAGAACTCAGGGTTTGGGACACTAATAGAGCTGGCAGGTGATCTTGCAMAATTTGATGAGTAACTGAGAAATGTTGCTTGGCTTGGTTTCTTCATGGCTCAGAGCCCACTTCAGGATGAAAACACTATGAAAACAAAGAAACAAAATAGGAGAAGAAAGGGTACTTACCAGGCAGGTAATAAAAGTAAGGTTTTGTTCCTCACAGGATCACTGAGTAACTCCTGCAGAAAGGGGCATTTGGAGGTCACCAGTTGTTCCTCACCACCTCTATGAAACCGGATCAACTTCAGATTTGATCCCGTTTCAGGGAAAGAATTGTTAGGGAACCTTCTCCAACCAAACACTGAACATCTCGAGGATTAGGGTTGCCATAGTCTCACATTTCCCATATTTAACTAAACACATGGTGTGATCTTTTTTTCCTTTCCTTATATTGGATTGAATTCCACATGCTCCCTCTGTGCTTTTCATCCTGTGCATCTGTGAGAAGAGTCTGGCTTCCTCTTCTCTGTGCCCTGACATCAGGCAGCTGAAGATAGCAACCTCCCTTTTCTTCACCATTTCTTCATCCTCCCCATCATCATATTCATAGCTCTCCACTGAACTGACTCCTACTGGTCAATACTTTCCCTGTATGAGGAAGCTCAAAATGTGATGCAATGCTTAGTGCTGATAGAGGGGAATTGAGACTTCCCCTAAGTATTGGCTACATTCTTGCTCTTATGGCAAAACATCTGGTAGGTCTTTCTCACCCAGAGAGAAATGCCAACTCTTGCCTAATTATTGTCCGAAAGATGCCTAGATTATTTTTTTCCCCGTAAAAATACTTTCTATCCAGCCATGGTCTAGCATGTACTCCAGAATGCAGCTATTCACCCCAAGTGAAGGACTCTGCAACTGTTGAACTTCATGAAATCTTTATCCACCCATTTCTTTAGCCYGTCAAGGTCCCTCTATCTGACAGCCCTGCACTCCAGTTGATCTTAATTTTCTACTCCAGTTTGATACACTAAGACTGAACAAGAAATAGGATTTTGCTGTATTCTGTGTTCTTTTTTCACTCTTCCCTTTTCTAGATGCACATGTTAAAGGCAAAAATTATTATTATGGCAATATAGATATTAAACAGCTTTCAGCAATATTTCTCTTCTGGACAAACATGAAACCTAAATTCAGTATACTCCACAAGATTGATTCATTTTGGATGTTCCTGCTGCCATTATTCCTTTCAAGGAAATAAATTCCTTTCTGTTTCTTTCAAGGAAGGATGCAATGTTTATCTTCTGCAGTGAAAGCATATTCCAGACAAAGAATATTAAAAAAAATTATATTATTTTACTAAGATTTCACACACAACTTTTGGCAACAAAAGAGTGGGAAAAGAGTGAAATAAGATTCCAGATGTATCAAGAGTAAGAAATAATGAATTATTCAAAGAATAAATGTACAATTAGCAATAGTTCATTAAAGAAAGTACAAAATACATGACTAGGACTCTGAGTCCATAAACCAGACTCTGCTACAGAGGTATTTTTGTAGGATGCAAAGCTGTGCACTACATCCAAGGACCCCAAGCCCCAGTTGCTGCTGGATCACAGCGGGGATCCTCATCAGGGTAGAACACAGGCACTGAATGTTTATGATAATACTGAAGCCGTGAGAGCAGTTTTTCCACCACATGAGGATATTTTTCAGACACATCATATTTCTCTTCAGGATCACGAACAATATCAAACAGCCAAAGTCTCTTTTCTGGTGGGTCAGACGATTGAATCTGTGACTCATTGAACAAAGACGGCGGAGGGAACCAATGACTGCAGCCTGCAGGAACAGGAACAGACCAAGGGTCAGTTCTGAGAGCCAGAGCAGCAGCTTGGAGACAGAGTTTTGATGTAATTGATGACTTCACTAGGTCTCTTGATAAGCCCCTGGGCAGTGACCATTGCTGCATACCTTAACTCTAGCCCTGCAGAGTCTCTCTAGTGCAAGGCTACCTAAATAGGAGCCATATTTATAAAGCTGCACCATTGGGATTCACAATTCCATGTCACATCACTTTGTATCACATAATTTAATGAACTTCCTTCCTGAATTCTATGATCCTCGTGGGTCCCTTCTATATGGGATATTACATAGTTGATGTTTCAGTTTGAGATATTCTGTAAGTTATTTTTTCACTGAAGGAATTTGTAGACAAAGTATTTGGAAAATGAAATAGTACATAGTTTTGCTTTTAGAAGTGTTCATTCTAGATCTTTGCATGTGGTCAAAAACCTAAGAATTTAACAATATTACTAAAAGAGATGAAAATACATTAAACAAAAATAAACTGTGCTTGTGGCAAGTGGGAGATACAGTGTACAAAAAGAAGTTATTTTGTTACCTGGATATCCAGTTAGTAACTTCCATTTTCCATGTCGTATTGCTGCATGMATAGATATATTGAAAAGGGTATCATCCCATTGAGAAGAATTGCTCTGTGGTAAAGGTGTCCTCTTCTCAATGCCAAGACCTTAAACAAACAGTAAACCAAGTTAGGTACATTGCATATTCATGAGGTAATTTTCAGAACTCTGTTGGAAAACAAAGCAGTATCATTCATTTATTTTTATGTACTGGATAAAATTTTGTTGTATGTATGTGCAAAGATCTGTGCTATGATTCAATGGCTGTATTTAACTCTGAACTTGAAGTGCATTTTAAAAAGTTACCAGTGGAAAATGTGACAGCTAAATTCTTAGGTTTTTTGTACACAGATTAACATATGTGCATCTCATATACCTGCACTAAGAATGCTCAAGGATGGAATTGCTAAGTTTGGTCATACAAGCACCTGTGTCTTTTGCCAGRTAGAAATATTGGATTGAAAGATCTCCTGAGTCAATGCTACTGCTGTTAATTCTCTGAGGTCATTACAGGGACCGAGCTCCTGACCCATATCCACAGCAGAGAGCTGTCTCTCTGTGCTGAGCTGGCTCTGCTCATGAAGATCATCATCTGACCAACAACCTTCTTCTGGGGCATTTCTTCATTGTCTTTGGAGGAGCTCTGTGTGATGTCAGCCATTTTCAGCTACAACAGAAAACTGAAATGGCAACTATGCACACATTCCCTTTCAAAAGGAAACCCCAGGCTCCTTACAGGAAGGACTTTAGGAAAAAAAAAATTGAAATGCTTTGCTCAGGGATGATCAGGAGACCAGTTTGTCATGGAAACCAACAGGGAGGAAGGGAGTCAGACAGATACTCCAAGAGCACTCAAACCAACTTGCATAACAGCTTTCACAAATAAAATAGGGGTTCAAGACATAAAATCTAGAAATTTTATATAAACTGTATCAGCTGATAACAGTTTACCAATGACTACCAGAAGGCAACTTTAGTCAGACCAGAAGAGATATTAGAACATGGAGAGAAACCAATGTTGGTTTTCTAGCTTCTTTCAAGAGATGGTTTTCAATCAGTTCAGGGAATCTGAAGTTCTCATCTGACAGATTTTTGGATGAGAATCCATGAGAAGTACAATGCTTATGTAACAGCCAATAGGAAGCAGAACTAGATATTTCTAAAAAGAGTAAATTCTGCACAACACAGTGAGGGAAATACACATCCAATGGAAAGAAAGCCATAAAGCTGGGAGAAGAAATGCTAGGACACAACTASTCTATTTTTTCATGAAGGACTTTCAAAGTTTCTATTTTCTTACTGGACTTTTCTTACTGGACTTACACTTTGAGTTGGTTTTTCCTTATTAAACAGATTTGTGCAAACTCAAGTTCCCTGCCTTCATCAGACATGTGAAATGTTCCCAGATTAACAGGGCTACAAAAGGAGGTAAAGGTTTGGAGTGTGCACACACAGATTGGGGAGGACTCAGTCCTTTTGGATCAGGAAGCACTGAAGCTGACCTAAAAGAAAAAATAAACCTCAAACCCCTATAAAAATGAGGGAAAATAAGTAAATAATCCCAGCAACGTCTGTTCTGGAAGATAAATTCTCACAAGCCATGTGATGCCCATAGAAAATATGAAACAGTTTAAAGATTAATACTGCTTACTTTTCAACATCATTTTGTTACATGTTATTCTGACACATGTTTTGCTGCTCTTCTTTGACTACCTCTCTTTGCAATCTACTTTCTTAAGCCAAAGACATTCAGCAGGTCGAAAAAAAGAATCATGCATTTGAACCTTATGCATCAAAACTACAATATCAAGGCTTGGTCTAAAGATAAAATTATGTAAGTCTGCATTTCTGATTTTAAAGTTCAGCATAAGAATATGCTTCTGATTCCTGAGCTACTTACAGTATGTGAAGCCATAACATTACACAACAGAAGCTATTTAAAATACTTCAAATAAACAGCATGAAAGATTTTGCAAATTATCCTTAGAATGCCATGTAAAAGACTTAAAATAAGATTCAAGAAGATAAAATAGTTTTTTAAAGCTTTGATTTGGTCCAGGTAACAAAACTAGACTCCTAAATGAAGAAATGCTTGTACCAGAGCATGAAGTTGAAGTCATTTGGTGAAGTATTATCTTTTAGCACCATTTCTTGAAGAGAAATGGATAAATTCCCTCATGCTGAGCTGTTATAAACAAAACTCTGTCAGTCATGTTAATTCACCCATTGCAAGCACTTGTTTTTTGCCAAAGAAATGTCCTTCTATTATTCAGGGAAGTGCACTGCTTTCCAGACAGTACAGGTCAACTTTCACCAGATGTACTGGTCATGGAAAACAGAGTGATTCTTGTTTAAATGCTCTCTACGAAGATACTTACAAGACTGTCAGTTCATTACATTATATAGGCACTACATTCAGAACTAAGACAAAAATTTTGCTTGATATAAATTCTCTCCTTCCCATTCTATGACTTGCACTTTAAGCTTGGATATTTCTCCCCCTGTATTTACCCATCTTCCTCCTTCTCTTTAGCCCAGCTGGTAAGTTTCTACCTCTGTCTTCAGCTTTTGCTGGTGCAGGTGAAATGCAACATACCTGGCCTGTCTTCTCCCTTGCCATATGGATTTTACAGGAGTTCCTTTTCCTATTTTGCCAACTGAAGAAATCATATTGGTTCTGCTGCCGTTTCAAGACAAAATGTTCACTCTCATAGCATCTAAGCATTTTTTCTGTATTTGTTTTGTATTGTGGGGGAGTTTTTTATTTCTTTTTTCCATTATGGTTGACAGTAACAACAGTCCCATGGACTAATTCAGCAAAGGACAGATGCCTTTTATGAAGCTCTGTAATCAAGCCTGCCTTCACAGGTCTGCATATCTCCTTTTACACATATATATATGTATAAAATGTAATGCTTTTGCTTGTATAAAGAGGTTAAATATTTTACTTTTTTTTCCCCCATTAGATCAGTGTAGCAGAGGCTAATGAAATACTAAAGCTTTGTTTCTACTGTGAAAGAAAATCCCACAGCCTGTGCCATGAATTTTATTATTGTCAAACAGAAGCCACTGTTTCCTGAAGCCCAGCTTTGGAGCCTCACCAGTTGCTATGTTTCTTTTTTAAGTAGTGTCTTGGGAAATGGTAAAAATGTTATTAGTTAAGAAAGCAGTGGCCTTTCATTCAGATTTATTTTCAAATGTTTAATGCTAAAATKAAATTGTCTAAAAATTTCAGAGTTTTGGTTGGAGTTCTACCTCACCAAGTAGTATTCAAATAGCTTTTATGTCTCTATAGATGAACCTAGGTCCCTCAGAAAATGCTGCCCTTGGTAAGTGATTTTGGAGTCTATAGCATAGTTCAAGAAATCCTTGAATTGACAGCCTGAAAAATGGATCCAATTTTTAAAGGAACTGAGGTGGCCAACTCTCACTGCCTGCAAAAGTAGTTTATTATTTAAATACTTTACAAGTCTGGGCCTTTGCCTCTTATGGAAACTTCAGCTTAGTTCTTTTACTTCTACTTCTACTAGTTTCTATGTGCAAACATATTTCAAATTAGGATGAAAAATCCTATGTCATTTTCAACAGCTAATCTGCACCTTAAAGAAAACTGATTTTTACAAATGCAAATATCATTAACACTGAAAAATCTATGCAAGATGCACAGAAATCATCTGTCAAAATGTTGTCTGCATTTGCTAAAATAATTGTTATTTTGATAATTTGAATATTCTGTAGCATACTCTTCAGAGAGGATGTTGGAATATTTACTACTGTGTAAGTACACACTGACTGTTGACTGGAAAATATCCTGAACTTTTTAAGACAAATGAACAACCTTTCAGTGCATTGTGCTAATGCACAAATTTAAGTACAACAAAAGAGAAATGAACATGGCGGGGAACAAAAGAATATTCTCTGAACTAGCTATTGCTATTCAGGAAAGTGTATCTGATGCTGTAATGAATAGGTAATGACCAGAGGCTGTCCATAAAAGCAATCCCAATACTAAAACTGGCAAAGAATGGGACACTATGCCATCACTGAGGTCCTTCTTGCACCTCACATGGTGTACACTGTGCAGTTTTGGGTACCATGTTAGAAAACAGAAAAGCCATGCAAGATGCAAACACATGAGACAAGGAAAATTAAAGCTACAGAACAACTTCTTTGTGAAGAATGACCAAGTAAATATGATTCTTTGTCCTCAAAAATGGACAACAGACGAGAGAAAGGAAAGAGTTCTAAGATATTGTGTGGCCGTCAGAAACTGAGCAAGGAACAATTGGTCCTTCCTAATAAGGGAACAGAATACATTAAGATGTTATGTATGAAAAATAAACAATAGTATATACTTAATACAAACCAAACTCAAGTGTGTAATTCCTTTATGTGTAATGCTGTGGGTATGAAAATTTACACAGGTTGAGCAATAAAAGGAATCACAGAGTAGAAGAAAAATCCATCAAGAATTTTTATATGCAAAATCACAACCCAAAGATTAGGAGCAGATTGTGGGGGCCACACCAGAGAAGTGTATTTATGTGCTTGCCCGCATATGCTCTGCCCTACACAACTGCTACTCTCAGAACAATGAACTGGACAGGTTTTTGGTGTGGTCCTACACAAGATGTGTTACCAAATTACTTTTAATTCAGGGGAGGCAAATTAAAAAATGTACAAAAGGAAGTGCTATATTGAAGCAGATTTATGCAACTTTTATCATATTAATCCCTGTATGCACTGCACTGAAAGGGTGAAAACTTCCACAGAAACTAAGTATAGAATCAGAGCACCATATCATATCTCAAGTGGGAAAGGACCCATGTGGATCATGGACTCCAACTCTTTGATCCTCAAAGGACTACCCAAAACTTAACCATGAGACTGAAAGTGTCATAGAGATGCTCCATGAGCTCTGACAGGCTCGGAGCTGCGGCTCCCAGGGTAGTCTGTTCCAGTGAAGAACCGTTCCGTGGTGCAGTGTGAATCTCTCCTGACATGGTTTCATTCCACCCCTGTCAGCAGTCACAGAGAAAGGGAATCAGCACCGACCCCTCTGCTTTCCCCCTGTGGGAGGTGAGGGCTGCCCTGAGATCAGCCCTCA